GAATCAAAATCTCTCATCCCCATAGTGATTCTAATCCCATTAAGTTTTTCTGAGATCGACCTAACCACATTAAAATCCTCTCCTAAACACCAATTTGGTGAACACAACCCAAATAATCCAGATAGCTCCTCCCAAAAATCCTTACTCCTAGAAGGCCTGTTAGGACCATAAACCCTTGTCAACCACCACTCCGAATTGTCTAAGTTTCTAAACCTAACTGATAGCGAAAACTCCCCCACTATTGTTTCACACTCATAAACCACTCTTTCATCCCACACTATCACAACTCCCCCTGATCTACCAATTGCAGGCAAACACACTCATCTCCTATGTCTAGTACCCCAAAGACTTTGCATAAACCTCCTCTCACACACTTCTACTTTAGATTCCTGCAAAACAACTATATCCGATTGATGACTCCTAAGAAAATCCATGATAACACTCCTCTTTTTTCGAGAACCCAAGCCCCTCACATTCCAACTAATAATCTTCATAGGGAAACATTTCCTCCCCTAACCGCCTCTCGTCTCCTCTCATAATTAACTGAACTTGCTAAATTCCTTAATTCCCTTACACCCTTTTTACTACTCTCACACTTGGACCTTTTGCTTATCCTAGAAGGCCCAAACGTGCCCTCAATTTTAACCAATGACAACCCCATGACTTGAAGTAATTGCAAAAAAAGAGGAATCTCACTCTCCTCAATTAGGCACGTCTCATACTTGCTCAACTCATGCAGCCATCTCTCCGTTTATCATTCACCTGACCTTGAGATATATTAGCATGTAAGGACTCAGACACTAAGATAGACTCATTCACAGTGGCCCTCGGAATTTCAACAGTAACCCCTTGTACAATAGTGTCAACTAATGAAACTTCATGAACAGGACAAAAGGAATTGGACCGATGAACCACAGATAACCCACCCCTAGCCCTATCCCCAGCAAAGGAAGAATTTGGAATAGCTTGTTTCTCCTCATGCAAAGATGAAACTGTTAAACCTTGGGTAAAGGAAGGACTGACCTGATATAGAGCTTCAGAAACCTTACCGATACCCTCACCCTCAATGGTACAATCTACATTAAAAAAACGATTGAGATCCCAGTCATTATCATCTTGTTCAACCTCACTAATATCCACATCAGATTTCGTTTCCAAACTCGCAAATGATCCATACTCCTCCAGATTTTGCAATACCTCATGTATCTCGAAATGGCCCTCATCCACTTCATGAATCTGCTTTTCCGAGGCCTTTATAACCTCCATTAAATCCCCAATCCCTTCCTTTGTCGACCCATTTAATTTCTGAAAATCCCCATTGGATCTGTCAACCACATCTGCCAACCCTAATCGGGCTTCCTCTGTATTCAGCTCTCTATGAATGGGGGACAAAGCTTGTACATAACGATCGTCTGATTCTGAGATGTCACATGGTGGGAATCGACTTGGCTCCTTCATCGCTGTGCATCGTCGAAGACCCTCTTCTCCTTCAAAACCATTAACCCGATCGAACCCCAGCCTCAAAACCTCAGTCGGGTTGGAAAGAGAAGCCCTTGGACCAATAATAAAACTTGGGCCCCTGTAGATATGTATAACAGCATTTGGACTCCCATTAAGAGATGGATCCAAATCCTTAAAAATTTGGCTATCATGTGGATCTAAAAGGTCCAGTCTACCAGTATCATTAGTTTTGCTTGAGACTAACAAATCATGGGTTGAGCCCACATCTTGCCCAAGCCCATTAGAATTAAGACCAAGCCCATTAGTGTTAAGACCTCCAGACTGACTGCCCTTTTCGTCCCTAGCTCTTCCTCCATTACCTGCGCCCCCCTCTATCATATCACCCGGCTGCCTTCTCATCTCCCTCCTGCCACGTGTCGAACCTGTCTCCTGAGACTCCTCACCTTCCTCTTCTCCGGCACTGAAGTCGCCTGAAAACCTCCCTTGCCGATGAACCTCCCGTCTTTCGACAGGCTTTGATAGAGCCTTCAATCGAACAATCACAGAGATCTCCTCAAGTTGAACATGAACATTCGCAGGTAAGAATCCATCGCCATAGCCTCTAACCTTCAATCTAGCCTCAAAAAGATTTTCGAAATTCCTGGTTCAACGATCCACTTCTATCAACCCACCACATTTTGACCCAATCCATTCGAAAACCCTGTCATTCCAGAGGTTAAAAGGCAAATCGCAGACAGAGATCCAGCCTCCATTTGAGGCTATGACAGTATCCTTACTGATCATCTCCTCCGACCAGCTTTCCAGTCGCACAGCAATGCTTTTATTAAAGAAACATACTCCTTGAGCACCATAATAGTCAGCCTCCTTCGGACTTTTTGCAATAAACAGAGCCTTATTTAATTGAAAAGGCCTTAGAACAATTGAGGCTTTAAACGAACGATTTAATTCCTTCTCAATCTGAGCCCACCCATCGAAGAAGTCAGTTATGTTGCATACCACCACCATGCGCATCTCCAAAATGAAGTTATTGCCACCGAAACCACTTGATTTAGACTTAAGCACATCAGCATATGAAGCTTCTCCGTTTGCCCCTGTTTTTTGGGAGATAAACCCATTCACATTTGTGTTTCTTCTGCAAGTACTAAATACATAATGATTACTTCTATTATAGCCTCCTTTGGCTGTAGTCCTTATCTTCTTTTCATCATTCATAACCCTAGAGTCTCCATAGATAACTCGTTCCAGCATCTTGGCCATTGCCTCCCACCCTTGACCATCAACCCCTGCTGGAAGGATAATGTTATTTCGTTTTACCCCAGCCTCCCATTTTGATATCTCAGCAAAAACACCACCCTTGTTACAGAATTTCTGGACCCAAAAAACTATTGAACTACTCGTATATTTGGAGAAAAAAGATCGATCACTGCGCTGGCCCCAAACCTGTCGCAAAGCTTGTATGGCCCAAGAGACACCCCCTAAATCTATCTTCATAGTGTAACTCCTGAGTCAATTCCTCTCAATGATCACCACTAAACCTCCTCTGGATTCAACATCCATCTGAATGGTAATAAGCTTATGTTCGATACATAACTCAGAAGCTCCCCCGCCATATACTCTCAGCCTCGCACTCGCACCCATCTCTTTTTTTATAATTTATGGCGTTTTTCATCAAACAGTATTAAAAAATGTTACTAATTGTTAATTTTCAACAACAATTTAAAAATTGTCACGAAAAAGTCACTAATTATAAGTTTTAGAGACAGTTTAAAAAAATCGTTACAAAAAAGCATCACTATTTTTCAACTTTCAGAGACAGTTTGAAAAATTCGTCACAAAAAAGCATCACTAATTGTAAGTTTTAGCGACAATTTATAAAAATCGTGACAAAAAAAGGTCACTAATTATCAATTTTTAGCGACATAGGCAAAAAATTGTCACAAAAAATTATTTTTTGTGATAATTTTACTAGAACTTATTTTCAATAGGACTTAATGGGAATTAAGCCCAACTGTTAGGACTTATTGGTAGTTTACCCTAAAATAATATAAGTGCTATTGTTCTTCTCGATGAATCCTCCTCTAATATAGAGTATACGAAGCTCAAAGAAGGCTAAATTCAAAGAAGTAACGATATTTGGACATTGGCATGATTTCAAAGAGAAACTGATAAGAACCTTAGATAACTATGTTTCTAGTGTTATTAGAGTATTATTTTATGATTTCTAGGATTTTAGGTCAGAGGTATTTTGCTAATTTTCATATTTGTTGGCATGTGCTATAGGGTCCATGGGTTGTCTTATGATTCAAGTTATTTAATTGGTTTTTCTTTATATTTCTTATTAGTCTCAAGTTGGTTTTGTGAAGTCGAAATAGTTTTAGTAGTTTCCTATTTTAATTCTACTTGGTTTAAGAAGTCCCCTAGTTCTATATAAAGCCATGTCATGCTTATAATTTAATAGAGTTGATATTTTAGAGAATTTGAAGAGCTTTGAAGTTTTCTTATAGATTGTGTGATGCAATCAAACCCTAGGTGTGATGCCTAAAGGATTCTAGAAGTGATTCCTAAACCTATCTTCTTCTTCTCTTTTTTCTTCCATAAACCATAAACCACATGGCAGTCATGTCCTAAATGAGATAGGGATGATCAACACATGGACCAAACCACAAGGAGGTACAATGAAATTTGCCCACAAAATAATAATAAATGTTTCGTGTGTCCACCATAGTCAAGAAGTCTCTCATAAGTGTCTGGGTTCGACACATGTCAGGAAGTGTCCGATAAGTGTCAGTGTTCCCCAAGACACGAACTCGCCACCTTCTTATAAATGTTTGTGCTTCCAAGGTAGATATCAAATGCTTAACAATTCTTTTAGTAAAACCCTTTAGTCTATATGTTTGTTTCATGGATAAAAGGGATTGGATGTCGGCACATCGAATCCTAGGACTATTTTCTACTTCAATGCGGCCTTACACCATTGAATCAAGTTCCAAAAAAATTACTATTAAAAAAAAAAAAAAAGTACAAGGAGAAAACAGAGGACAAGATATCCTCCAGTGATAGAAAGGGGGAAAAAAATAAAACACAAAAACCATTGAAAAACAACACTCCAATTCCTAGGCACTTAACCAACCACCACCCACCAAGGGATTATTTTATCCCACATACAAGGGAATAGATGTCCCAGCTGGATAAATAGTCTGGTCCTCCTTTGGCAAACCAAACAAAAATAATTTGCTCCCAAAGGATTATTTATCCAATCCTGCCCACTTTATCTAGGAAACAAACATGCCCCATGATTATTCTTTATTAGTGAGCTGACCTATTGAAAATCCCTTTAGAAAATAGCACTTAACTGTCATTAAATTTTTCTTTATTTCACAAGAAAGAATATCTGCTTCTGTGTCTTGATCATCTAACCAAGTTTGAAGACTATTTTCTTCCAATAATATTCACTACAGATTCTAAATTTTGTTGTAATCATTACTTACATTCAAGAGACTTTGAGTGGAAAAGAACAGTGCATATTACAAATAACCTACCTTACAAGCAAAACATGTTGCTTTATTGTAGCAAGGAACTCTTTGACTCCTCCATTGTAGAAGTAAAGAGGAGGAAATGCTAGTCCTGCCAAAAAAAAAAGTTATAACACATGTCATTGAAGCAAAATAAAATAAAATAAAATAAAAAAAAAATCATGCAGCATAGACTAAACAGGGATTCCTCCGAAGATCTATGTTACACATGAATACTTCAGACAATTACAAGCAACTGGCATTTGAATCATCAGACATCAGTACAAGCTCAAAAGATTACACAAAAAACAACAAAAGATTCATGCTAAAACCAAAATAATGAGAAAATTCAAAATTGCGGCCATACAACTACAAAAATGGCCAAAAAAAACTTCAAGGTCAATTGCCATGATAATGAAAGAAAATACAGACAAAAGTAGCAACTCAATTCTCCAAAACTGCTATATAATCAAAGGATGCAAGAGAAGCACCAGACATCCAGTACTAGTAGGCAACTGGGGTGAAAATATATAGCAGCTAAGAAGCACGGACACTTGTAAGAAGACGACATATCCGTGTTGAACACCTACATTCCTCAAACACTCTCGGACGTGCCAAATGCTCTTTGCTAGGCGTCCATATTTAAAAATAAAAATCTTAATTTCAGACATGTGTCCAACACTCATCTTGTGAGGTGCCTGTCACTTGGCCATGTGTATCACTCAAATATAAACACGAGGCCAACAATTCCTAGACACTTGTTAACATATGATTTTCAAAGTTTGAATTTAACACAAATATCTTACACCTTCAAAAAAAATGTATAATTCTTGAAAAAAAAAATGAATAAGTAGGTACGTTAGGAGGATAATGGAAGTGTTGCAATTATAGACACTTGCAATAGTTTGTTTGATTTTTAACTACTATGGTCCAGTAGTCTAAAAATTCAAGTAGGAAAATTAGATACAAGATTTATTTAGTATAAAATAATTATTTAATTTTGTACATATTATGCACATATAACTTATATATGATATATATTCCTAGAAATTATAAGGGACAATTATAAAAAAATAAAAAACCAGGTTGGAGCCTTCTAACAAAATAAACCCTTAGTTTTCAATTTTCTCAATTTAAACCCTAATTTTTTTATTTGTTTTCAATCTAAACCATTAGCCTATTTTTGTTAAGTAAAATCAACGGAAAAAGAATATTTTAGTTACTAAACTCAATGTAAATATACAAAAAATGTCTAAAATATCTTTTTTCATTGAGTTTATAATAATTAAAATACCTATTTTTCTAACGATTTTACTTAACAAAAATAGGCAAATGGCTTAGATTGAAGATAAATCAAAATCTTAGGATTTAAATTGACAAAATTAAAAATTCCAGATTTATCGATATTATAATATCAACATATTATTTGTGGCATGTCTAAACTGTATTTGTGTCCTACTTTTTTGGAATTTGATTTGTTGACGTGTCTATGTCATGTCATATACATGTCCCGTGTCCATGTCTATGCTTCATAATACACAGCATAAATAGAATAGGCATTTCTACAAGTAAAGAGTGTATAGGTAACAAACATATGAATTCTACTGATCTAACACAATCCAATTTCTTTTACTTTTCTTGATCACCACACAAGGGATGGTATAAGAATAACATCATGTGGGGTTTCAACTGATGAAGAAGCATACACAAAAGTACTTTCACTTAATTTGGGAAGAAAAAACCTCAACTTTAGTATAACTAAAAAATATTGTGTTGCACGCCTACACCATCCATTAAACTTTTTTACCAAGTAAAATAAAATAAAAATACAAGAAAAAAGTGTTGCAAGGTAATCACCCTTGTTTATGATAAAAGCAAACGCCCAAAATAAAGATCAACAAATAGAAATCTTTCTACCTCAGTGCCTTCTCATGCTAGATAAATTCAACTTTCAACAAGTGAAGAGAAGAATCAAAAGAAAGTTCACCCTACTAGAACAACTCCAACCATACTCCTCATTTTTCACTAGCTAAAATATCAAAAATGGTATATTTTTTATTTTGCCTATATCCTTTTTATCTCCTCAATTTTCACTAGCTAAAATATTAAAAATGGTATACTTTTTATTTTCCCTATATCCTTGTTTATCTAGGTACTACAGTGCTACACTTTTTTAACCTATTGATCCACACAAACTGTTTAAAGAGCTTCCCAAGGCTCTCCAATGTAGCTAGCCTTGAAATTTTTTGTTAAAATAGCTATTGTAGCAACTAGCCCATTGGAGTGACTAAAATAGGATGATACTAGTTATAATAGCCAACAAGACTCTCTCAAAGCGTGCCTTGGAGATGCTCTTAGTGAACCTACCATGTGAATGACTGATGTAGGCCAATTAGGGGCAGCAGCAAATCTAGGCTTTTAGGGCTGATTTTAATTGGGTTTTATGGCCAAAATTGGAATAAGAATATAGGGTTTTGAAGGGTTTGTATTGGGTGATAAAGGGGTAAGATGAGCATAAAAAATGAGATTGTGGCACTGTTTTAGGGGCTGTTATGAGGCTGTGCACAATGATTCCTGAAAAGTGTTTTGGGCTGTTGAAAGTGCAGAAAATAAAGAGGAAAAGAAGGAGAAGAACATAGGTCTAAGAATCATCACTTCTACAAAATCCCTTTGATTGCATCACACAATCTATAAAGAAGCTTCAAAAGTTCTGAAAATTCTCTAAAATATCAACTCTATTAAATTATAAGCATTGCATGACTTTATATAAGATTATGAGATTTCTTAAATCAACTAAAACTAAAAAATGAAACTATTAAAATATCTTTAACTTCCAAAATCAACTTAAGACCAAATAAGAAACATAAATGAAACCCAATTAAATAATTTAAACCACAAGACGACCCCTTCAACCCATACCCAAAAATTCTGCAAATTACCAAAATACCCCTAACCCTAAAAATCTTAGAAAATATAAAAATAATCATAAAATAAGACTCTAATAGTACTAGAAAATGATTAAATATGGTTAATATCGTTTTCTTTTTAAAATCATGCCAAGTTTCAAATATTGCCACTAGTTTAAATTTACTCTTTCTTCAGTTTATTATACTATGCATCAAACCAAGCCTTAAGTCCCATCAAATGGACTCAATTATATGAATCCTTCTTCTCCACGCAGGCCTATCAAAGGCCATTTCGTTAGTCAAATTAAGTAAATCCATATTTCTATTTATAACGCTAACCAACGTTAATCTAGGCTTACCCCGTCCCCTAACACTCTCATCTACCGTTACAGTATCGCATCTCTTCACTACTGCCTCTGTTGGTCTCCGTTGAATGTGATCAAACCATCTAAATCGATTCTCTTTCAACTTATCTTCTATCGGTGCTACTCCTACCCATTCCCGAATATACTCATTCCTAATTCTATCTTATCTAGTCTTGCCACACATCCACCTTAGCATCCTCATCTCAGTCACACTCATCTTATCTACATGTTGTTTCTTGGTTGCCTAACACTCCGTCCCATATAACATCACTGGTCGAATAGCTGTTCTATAGAACTTACCTTTTAGTCTAGTGGGTATTCATTTATCACACGATACCCTAACGCACTTCTCCACTTACACCATCTCGCCTTAATCTTGTGGGCCACATCCGCATCAATCTCCTCTATTGTTGTGATAATCGACCATAAAAAACGAAAATGTTCACTCTTAAGCAATTCTTGGTTCTCAATCTTCACTTCTCTTTTACTTTCATTGTTACTGTTACTAAATTTACACTCCATATACTCTGTCTTAGTTCTGCTTATCCAGAATCCTTTAGATTCAAGAGTTTTTCTCCAAATCTCCAACTTTGTGTTAAATCCTTCTCTAGTCTCATCAACTAGTACAATATCGTCTGCAAAAAGCATACACCATGAAACGTCACTTTCATTGTTACTGTTACTAAATTTACACTCCATATACTCTGTCTTAGTTCTGCTTATCCAGAATCCTTTAGATTCAAGAGTTTTTCTCCAAATCTCCAACTTTGTGTTAAATCCTTCTCTAGTCTCATCAACTAGTACAAATACATTCAATTTCAACATACACCATGAAACGTCATCCTGAATATTTCTCATCAACTCATCCATAACTAAGGCAAAAAGATAAGGACTTAGGCCTCATTTGGGAACAGGCTTTTTTAGTAACTTTTTGACTTTTTGGCTAAAATGTGATGTAAAAAAAACTAGTATGTTTGGGATGACTTTTTAGCTTTTTACGAAAGGATGTGTACAAAGTAGAGAGAAAACGGAATCTTTGATTTTTTGGTATGGATTGTTGGCTTTTTAGTTTTTTTAGTAACTTTTTGGCTTTTGGGCTAAAAAAGTCACTTGCCAAACGAGGCCTTAATGTAGATCCTTGGTGTAACCCTACAGTGATAGGAAATTCATTTGTCTCTCCAACAACCGATCCAATAGTGGTCGCAACCCCTTCATACATGTCTCTAATCACATCAATGTAACCTTGTATTATCCCTTTCTTCTCTAACACCCACCATATTATATCTCGGGGCACTCTATCATATGCTTTCTCAAGGTCGATAAACACCATATGAATATCTCTTTTCTTTTCTCTATACTTTTCTATTACTCTCCTCAAAAGATAAATCGCTTCCATTGTTGACCTGCCAGGCATAAACCCAAACTAATTCTCTAACACCTCTATTATATCTTGCAATTGACATTCCATCACCCTCTCCTACACTTTCATTATATGACACATTAGCTTGATTTCTCTATAGTTGTTGCAATTCTGGACATCTCATTTATTCTTATAGATTGGCACTAAAATACTCTTCCTCCACTCATCTGGCATGCTCCTAGTCAATAAAATTTTGCTAAACAACCTAGTCAACCAAGCAACCTCATTTTTACCCAAACAATTCCAAGCTTCAATAGGGATATCATCGGGTCCTAAAACCTTATTTGATTTCATCTTCTTAAGTGCAATCTCTACTTCAAAATTCCTAATCCAGCGATAGAACCTATAGTCTTGGTTTATTGTATTATTGGCTATTTCTTCCCTTATTGTCGTACCTCTTTGTTCCTCATTTAATAGTTTTTCAAAATAGTTCTTCCATCTTTCCTTAATATCTTTATCATTCACTAATACATTAGAATCCTCACTCTTGATGTACTTAACTTGATTAAAATCTTTTGTTTTCCTCTCACGTATCTTAGCAAGTTTGTATACCCTCTTCTCTCCCTCCTTACTATCTAGTTTAGTGTATAGGTCATCATAAGCTTTCAACTTAGCCTCTCTCACTACTTTTTTGACCTCCTTATTAGCTAATCTATAGCTGTTAAGGTTTTCCGCAGTTCTATCATTTTGCAACTTTTTAAAGCACTCTTTTTTTGCCTTAACTACCGCTTGAATCTCTTCCCTGTACCACCAAGTTTCCCTAGAGCTGGGTCCTGTCCCTTTCGACTCTTCAAGCACTTCCCTCGAGATTCTCCTCATACAATTGGCCACCGCGTTCCACATAATGTTAGCATCATCTTCCAAATCCCAAGTACCTTCCTTATCCATTTTGTTATTAAATATTTCTAGTTTATCCCCTTTTAGGTCCTACCATCTCGTCCTACGATGCCCACCATCCTTTCTAATTTGGAATTGGCCTCTAAAACATAAATCTAGTACGAGGCCAGACTCTCTCGAGGAATCACCTTACAATCATTGCATTTTAGGCGGTCCACTTTTCTCACCAAGAAGTAATCTAATTGGCTCTTAACTGACCCACTCTTAAAGGTTATCAAATGCTCCTCCCTCTTCTTATACATAGTATTGGCCACCATGATGGAAAATGGCAGCAGCCAATTAAAGTCTATAAAAGGCGTGGATCCAACGGTTCTAAAGCCCAAGCCTTAATTTGGCATATGTTAGATGATGTGGGGCCTACTTGGGAGATTAACTAGATTTGGGATTTATTTAAAAGTGTCTTTTGAGTTTCTCAAGTCAAATGTCTTTAAATTTCTAGTCAAGGTCTTTGGGTTATTTAGTTGGTCAAAGAGTCTTCTAGAGTCTTTCACATGATTAATGCATTAAAGAGTCCTAGGGAGTCTAAGTTAGTCATGTCATTTAATTTGGAAAGTTTTAGAATCAAGATGAAGTGAGACTTTTCTCACTAAGAAGTAATCTAATTGGCTCTTAACTAACCCACTCTTAAAGGTTATCAAATGCTCCTCCCTCTTCTTATACATAGTATTGGCCACCACCAGGTCAGAAGCCAATGCAAAATCCTGTTCACAACCCCCAAAACAGCCCTGTTATTTGTGTTTTTGCTCATACTCAGGCCTATTTCGAATCTGTCCTGCATCACACCACCAGGTCAGAAGCCAATGCAAAATCTAAGATACTCTCTCCAGCCTCATTTTTGTCACCAAAACCGTATCCACCATGCATCCTTTCATAGCCTAGTTTATCTATGCCTACGTGGCCATTAAAATCTTCACCTATAACCAGGTTCTCTCCTATGGGTATCTCCTATAAGATCTCATCAATTTGCTCCCAAAAATCCCTCTTAGTCTGATCATCTAATCCTACTTGAGGGGCGTATGCACTAATAACATTCACTATATTCCCTCCAATAATTAGTTTAACTAACATAATCATATCTCCTTTCCCAATGACCGTTACTACATTCTATACAAGATCCTTGGCAAATATAAATCCTACCCCATTCCTGCGTCTATCCTTACCACTATAATACAGTTTAAAATCGATATCCTCAATTTCCCTAGCTTTCTCACCCGTTCACTTAGTTTTGTGTACGCAAGCTATACTAACTCTCCTCCTAATTATAACATTTACCAATTCTATTGTCTTACCAGTTAAGGTTCTTATATTCCAACTGGCTACCCTAAACTTGTAGTCTTGGACTAGCTTCTTTACCCGCACTCGTCCAGAAAAAAGCGGAAACCTTTGCCTATTTTTCACTACATCCAAGCGTCAATGCGGCGTCTCTTGCTCACTTTTCGAAACACCCGGAGGCATGCGCAACGCGTCACTTGAGAGGAATGACCTAGCATTTAAACGATTCAAAGTATGATTCATTGTTATAAGGGATCCACTGCATCAATTACTCAAAAATTGTTCTTTATAATCTGCATTCAAGTTTTGTCCGCTTTAAGAAATTCAGTTTATGACCCCCACAGACACAATATCAAAACAAACCCTATCCCCCATATGTTGGTACCTCCGACACATAAAAAGCTCCATCACTAACGTAGGGAACACCCAACAAGGATAGCTCTAGGCTCCAAAACTCCCTTGCCACCCCCACAACGAATAAGGAGGCAATCCACTAACTCTCCTACATCCTTGCACTTGAGATTATCAATGGTGAGTATTTTCTTCTTTGCAGCCAGCCACACAAAGGTATCCACCTAAGAAAGTAATTTTGCCTTCTAAAAGTGTTTCCACAAAAAAGTCTCGTTAACTTTACCAGCAAAAGATGTGAGTTGTTTTCAGACTAAGAACAACATTGGCATCTACTGAGTAAATACTGATGCGTAGTTAACCTTTAACATCTGCCCATCAATGCCTTCATCTGGAAACCTTGGAAAATCCACTACCAACAGAGCTGGAACGGTCTATTGAGAGCACAAAAAAGGTAAAACACAGTCCAATCCAAGACCAATGAATCATTTATTTGACCATATGCTTTTCAAACTGAAATCTTGAGATTTCACATGGAATGATAAACCAATTTAAAAATAAGAAATAAAAAATAAAAAATAAAATTAACTTGTTTATGAAGCAAACCATACATCGGCTTACCTGAAGACAAAACAACAATTATGTACTGCCACCCAAGTGTTGGAGTGTGCCGATGAATTGAGCTGACATCCATAAAAGATACTGCCCTGATCGTATATAGATTCCTATCTGCATGAGACCTCACACAACAACAAACTCAGCTAAGCTAACCATCAACCCCACATTCCTCTACATATATACACTCACACAGTTAGTCATTTAAAATCAGGATTTTAGACTAACCACTCTCGGACAACCTCGCATTTGAGCTTTGCCCTGAGTAGGGAATCCATGTCTGCCATAACAAAAACAACCAATTCAAAAACCATTTATGTATATATATATGAACACATATAACATCATAAATGCACACAACAAAAAGATTATTACCATAAACAGAGAAGGCCCTAGCTTAATTAACTTCAATCGCCCACTAATTCTCTCGGACCCATACTGAGTTGGATGAATTGTCACATTATCTTTCAGGTACACAATTTCCGCACCCTCCGGCTCACTTACCGAGCTCCGTTTACTGCTATTGCACCGAGACAAGGTCACCGAACCCTAAGACACATAGCACACAGAAAACCTAGATTGAATTCAGGAATTCCACATCAATGCCAATTACTCAACCCAATTTCACAACAGTCATCGAATTCAATTCACACACACACATATATATACATGTACATAGATATAATTAGTATACATGTATAAGTATTTGGTGAAATTGAGATTGAAGTTGACGTGTGATTAGAGATTGCCTACTTGCTGTTGAGAGGCTGCGTAATCGGCGTCGTCGGACAAATCATGTATTTCTGTTTCTTGCATCGCTGGTTAATTGCAATGATGATGGAAGAAAGAGAGAGAGATGGTTTTCCTCGAGATGAAGGAAGGGTGGGCATTCCTGATGACTGGACATGCTATAAACCCCCAAAAAATTATCAAATTTTTTACTAAACTTTTTATATGGGTGTAGAATTTATGCAAATCAAATGTGCGTGAGTCTCACATTCATGTGAGATTTCGTAAAAAATTTAGTAATTTGTTTGGGTCCCTAGCATAACTCTTAATATTTTTGTATTATGGGCAACTTGATAAGTCCCAATGTAAAAAGTTCAACATTCATCTAATTTTCAAACAAAATACTTACATTAATTAGTTTTATATATTTTTAATTGTTACTAAAAAATTCTATTTTTTTAAAAAAAAAGTTTAAAGACACTATTACTTCTTACTATCGTCGGACTTCCGTCAAACGGTTGCCGGAAGTTCACCGGAGTGTTAAGAACGTTAATGGAAGTCGCCGGAATGTTCAGAATATTCACTGGACGTTAAGAATATCACTGGAGACTCACTGGAATGTTTAGAATATTGCTGGAAAAAAAAGGAATAAATGGAGAAATTAGAGCCAAAAAAAATAACAAAACGTGCTAAATTTTAATAAACTAAAAGGAAAAAAAAAATGAAACGACAAAAAGCAGCAACAATGGGAAAAACATATGTTATTTTTCAATTTTTGTAAGGTTCAAGCAAATAATCTCCAATATTGATCAAACTGAAAAGTAAGTTTTATACCATGATTCATTCCAGTACCAAAAAAATTTGAAACTACAAAATTTTACAGTTTTAAACCATGATTCATTCCAGCATCAAAAAAAAATTGAAACTGCAAAATTTTACAGTTTTCACCGCCTGTAACTAAAACTCGAAAACTACTTGTTCAGAATTTGAAAATTTTCTCCATTAGAACAGAAAAACAAAAGTGTATAGTAGAGAAAATAAAAAATAAAAAAAAAGAGATCGAAGGAGAAAAGCGGATATAGAGAGAGGATTGTACTCCGGCAACTATTTTTTGGTTAGATCTAGCCAAATCTGATGTAGATCTACTCATAGATCTACATCAGATCTGAGTAGATCCACTCATCTCCTTTGTCGAAAATATATCATCTTCGCCGTCGGCGAGGGTGAAGTTACGAGTTGATTTCGATGGTTAGTGGTTTTCGGTGAACCCCGATCAATGGAAAAAGACGTGATCACCGGTAGTCGTCCATGACAAAGAAGATGAGAGAAAAATGTAAAAAAAAAGAGAGAGAGGAAAACGTAAAGAGTCAAGCAAAAAGCAGAAAGAGAGAGAGAGAAGAAAGTAGGACTTTTGGGTCTACTCAAAAAGTTGTTGGATTAAATAGTGTCCACATGTTTCACATAGGACCAGTGGGTAATTCCCCCTTGCATTATTCTAATTTTGGCCCGACCCACCACTATGCCACAAGTAAGTACCATTATCACAGTGGGCATCAGTAGTAAGTCCTCCACAGTTCAGTAGCACCGACACCTCCGGCCTGCTCTATACCTAGGATCAGACCCTAACCATGGCCTTGGCCAACATCCTGAGGTGGGAAGATGACTCCGACTAGTCACCCCATCAGATGATCTCGAACGTACTCTATACAGTTGCCCCATCAAATTGAATCCATCTATTGCAAGACCAAGACAAAGGTTTCGTGGATCTGATGCAAAAGATGGTCACTTGTGATCAATTGCAGCCCATGCCAACGAATCAACTGGATCTCGCATCTTTCTATCTTGACTTTTGTGAGTGGAATGCCAAGTTAATTGCTCTGTTTTTTCTTGTGACCTAGACATTCTTCTAAATCTTGGAATTATGGGAAAATAACGCAACACCTTCGTTGGAACCCCCTTTTTAATCTTCTTAGTTCGCTTATCTACTTTCCAATGTGAACAATTGCATTTCGCGCATGCCTCCATATGCTAGAAATCTTTTCTAAATAAACAACAATCATTGACACAAACATGTATTTTGTCATACCCAAGATCAAATGCTTTAAGCAACTTCTTTGCTGAATATATAGATTGCACAAGTGTGTTGCCTTCTGGTAGCATGCTGGAAATACCTTTATTTTTGTTTGATTTGAGTTCATTTTTGTGATTACTCCATGAAATAAACTCTAGATGTTTCATAGAACCAAGATTTGTTGGAAGATTCACCATGTTATATGTATATTGAGCTTGTGTATGTAATTTATGAATATATGAAATGGATGAGACCATGAATCTATTGGTGAGGCAAGATTGGTGTGTGTAATGTAGAATTATACCTAAATCATGCTAGTGTATCATGTTTTTGAGTGAGTTTTGCTATGATTTGGACTTGGAAATGAGTTTGGGAAGTTTGCATCCTTGAACCATTTTCAGACTATCTGATTTTGCCCAGACCGCATGAGCGGCCGCAGGCTCCACACGAGCGGAACATGAAGAAAAACTGAGGTTTTCATTTTCCTCTCTAGGCGCTCAAGCGGCCAGTGTTTTCGCTCGAGCGGATTTGGGCCGCACGAGTGGTGAATACTTCTGCACGTGCAGAACCTCTGTTTCAATCCAACTTCAAAAAGGTATATCTCCTTCATTCGGACTCCGTTTTAAGCAATTCTTAAACCTAAATTCAAGCCCTCGAAGTCTAGTTTCTAATGGTGGTTCTCTCACATCAATATTCTAAGTACATAAATAGATATGCTCAAATTAATGAAGGCTGTTTTTTTTTTTTTAACCATTTCATGCCATTTCCTACCCTAACTTAGTTTTCTTTCGCTTCTTGCTATTTCCTTAAACTTTAACTATGTAAACATGATATTTTCTATGAAAAACATGCAAAATTGTCGTAGGAAACATTAATTTAAGTCATAAACATTTAGGGCCGTTTAAAGTACATCTTTGACACATACTTTGTTCGTGATTCATATGTAGAGAAGCTTAGCATTAAACACTTGAGAGGAATTAAAGAATGGGGAATGATTGAACGGTTATGTAACGAATAAATCAATTGAGTGAATTGAAGGCAATGTGTTTTGAAATGTTATGCTTGGTTATGTTTTTGCAGGCTGAGTCCTTGGAGTATCATTCGACCAAGCATTGTGAGTAATTTATTTATAACGGTATTTTCATATGAAATACTTTGGAATTGTGAAACTTATGCTTTATATAAATTATGTGCCTTGACGAGTGTTTTCGAGATGATAAAATATGCTTGAAATCTTCGGAGTAATTATGCTATGGCAAGTTTTCTAAAAGAATGTTTTGATAAGAATAAATGAATTTCCTTTTGAACAATGATTATGACAAATTGGGAAAATATAATTTGACCCTCAGTAACTGCTATTTGTTTATGATTCGTCTTGGAAGTTTTGTATAAGCTAATGATTCGCTATAAACGTTCTGTATGATGTCAATCTTTGATGATTGTCCTGTATGGTAATTCAACAAGTTAAAAATTAAGGCCTTTGGGTACTCCGCTAAGACTTAGAGTTATAAAAGGTTTGATAAGCAATATTTGATACTATGTGATTTGAAACAAGCTTTAATGTGATTTGCAATCAAACTTAAATGTATCATTTGATCGAAATGAAGGAACTTCATTAATATTATATGACATATGCAATGTGGACCGGAGGCCATTTGTTATATGATTAGGCCCGAGGCCGCTTGTTATATGATTTGGCCCGAGGCTGCTTGTTATATGATTGGGCCCGAGGCCACTTGTTATATGATTGGGCCCGATGCCGTTTGTCATATGATTGAGCCCGAGGTCACTTGTTATATGATTAGGGCAGAGGCCATTTGTTATATGATTGGGCCCGAGGCTGCTTGTTATATGATTGGGCCCCGAGGCCGCTTGCTATATGATTGGGCCCAAGGTCGTTTGTTATATTATTTGGCCGGAGGCCGTTTGTTATATGATTGGGCCTGAGGCCATTTGTTATATGATTGAACCCGAGGTCGCTTGTTATATGTTGGGCCCGAGGCCATTTGTTATATGATTGGGCCCGAGGCCGCTTGTTATATGATTAGACCCGAAGCCGCTTGTTATATGATTGGGCCTGAGGCTCTTTGTTACATGCTTGGGCCTAAAGCCGCTTGTTATATGATAGGGCCTAAGGCCGTTCTGTTTATATGATTATGGATATTGTGAGAACTGTATGATCATTTATTTACACTGTTTTACTGTATTATTACTCATTGAGCTTCGCTCACCCATTATTATGTATGCACATGTAGGTGATCTGCAACATGGAGCATACCCCTAAAGTCAGCTTTAGGAGCTATTTTGTGACCCAATCGAGTTATGCCTCCGAGATGGAGTTTTGTCTTTGACTCACACCATACCTTGACCTTATTTTGTTTTTGTTATTATGATCTTGGGTTGTAAACAATATGTACAAATTTGCTATGGTACTTATATTTTGCTTGGACATGTAAATGTTTGAATGTGTTATGAGGTTAACTTTATATTTTTGCTCATGATTAGTACAACTCAATGGACTTCTTATCATTATATGCTTCCGTTTATGGCCCCATTAGCATAAATTTTGCTGTATGATCGTTTGAGGCCTTCGGTAATTTACGAATTACTGGCTAATTGTTATGACCCAAACTTTTAATGGGCGGGTTCAGGTCATGAAAAGGATAATGACTGGAACATGGGGCTTGAGCATTCCCAATGATTGGCGGCAAACTGGCTCAGCCAAGTACCAGACCCCGTAGTACAGGTGTGGGATCTCCTAAACGGGTGTCCGAACATGCCCAACAATCTGAATTTTTAGTTTGGTTTCACAAGTGCAATGTAAAATGGAATGAGAGTCCAAATCTGACAAATCCATAGAAAATCCGCTAATCACAAGAAATGTAAAAAATGGACTACATCGCCAGACTTAGAATCGCCACCTAATCATTTGGAGAAAACTAAGAAACTTATGATTTGTGCCAAAAGGCCATGATTTGTTGTAACCAAAGTGTCTCGGCTTGAAAAGTTAGGCATGAGGGGCGAATGTCATGAATTAAGCACCCCCGCTCACCCAATCAAAGATCGGCCTCTGCTAGTCCATGATATGAGAATCATGAACATGATATGATCATATAACCCAATTATT